ATTCATCCTTTTTTTAGTTTCTTCAAAATTATTAATAAGCATATCTCAGTCAGGGATATTTTGAATTGTAAATGATTTGATAATCAATCAATTTATTGTTGTCAAGTAAAATCAGTTTATTAGAATTAGAAAGTGTTGTTTGAAGTAATATTATTATTGTATTTATCATTTTGATTGTCTTAATTAATGTCAAAGATGTAGAAACCTTGTTGTTAGTTTTTGTTAGATCTGATCATTTTTATTTGAATGAATAAAATAGTTGTATAAAGAAACAGAACTTTAAAACTAAAAGTTGCAATTTTAGAAAAATGGAATATATTTTTATAGTAAATTTAGATTTTCTTTTTTTATATATGCAGTAAAAAAGTATTTTGAGTAAGGATAACGCTGCAACTAGTTATAACTATATGATGCTTATTTGTTACTAGTTGCAACTAGTTGCAACTCAATTTTTATTAATGTTGCAACTAGTTGCAACCCTGTGATGCTTATTTGTCACCGGTTGCAACCAGTTGCAACGTCATCTTTAATTTTGAGTAATACTCATTAATATTATAAATCATATCTTATTATATAATTAAATCAATGTTATCACATTAAATCACACAATTATTAAAGTAAATTACCTTACACAGAAACAAAACCAAATGATAAATTAAAAAAAATTTATTGATTAATTGTTTAATTAATTCCTATAATTAACAAATAATCTGAATTTTTTACATTAAAAGTATAAGATAAGTTCATAAATTTTCTTTTTCTTTTTTTTTATATCACAAAAAAAAAAATAAAATAAAAAAACTAAATTTAAAAAAATGCGACTTAAGCTACCAAACATTTACTGCGTATACTTAGTTTAATTTGTAAAAGTAATAGATTAACCCAAAGAGGACTTTATCAAATCAACTTTCAAAATAAGTTTAGCTTATATTTAAAGTTAAATACAATCAATAAAATAAATTCAAATGTATTTTTTTACGATACATTTTAGAATAGAACTTAATTTTTTGATTTTATTCAAATCTAATAAATTAAAGTTATCTTAAAATTTGCCTACAGATAACAATTGAAAAAAAATATTAAAGTTTTAACCTTTTTTATTAAACTCATAAAAAAAAATTATGTCTATATATTACGATTTCCTTTTTTTGAAATGAATTTTATAGCAAATGAGTAATTAATTACTTGTGAAATTCTTTTCATCATGAAATTGAATCTTTTTAATGAATCTTTTCATCTGTTGATATATGTAATCTTTTTATAAGAAAGTAGGTATGTTATCATAAAATTGTGTTGTATACTTTCTAATTTTCTAATTCAATTTTTTTAAAAAAGAGAAATTAATAGTTTAAATGAGCCCTTTAATGATCAATCTTTTAATCAATTATTTGTTCACCTTTGCATATTGAAATTATCATAAATTTAGTAAATTATAAGACTACATATAATAAAAGATTTTTTCAAATATTTTTATTTCTATACAGTCAAATCTTATTATAATGAATTCTATGTTTTAGACTTCAACTTCGCTATAAGGCTATAGTGAAGATTTTAAGAGATTTGATTGGCCAATTCGCTATAATAAGAGTATTTTTATTATATTTGTTTAAAAAATTTGTTATATTAAGAGTTCGCTATATTAAGAGTTGACTGTATGCAACAATTGCAAATAATATATATGTGAAATACAAGGTCTTTTTTTACTGTTGAATTTGCTAGCTAAGAATGGAAAACCTAAAAAAAAATTTTTTTATTTTTGAAAGAAATAGTTTTTTCATGATAGATTAAACTTTTTATTTAATAGAAACAAACAAAAAAATTTAAGATTTAAGTTTTTTATTTAATTTTTTTAAATTTATTAATATATTATAATAAAGTAACAAATATACAAATCAGTCTTCGTCAACTAAAAAAATATGTAAATAAATAAACTATTAAATGTTAATATTACAAACATTATTTATATATTTTAAATATATAAGGTCATAGAGATAAATATAAGGATCCAGTTATTTTATTTTTATGGAAGAAATTATACTATCTTTTGTGAGTTCTACGATTGGTAAGCATAAAAAATATAGATTTATTAAATAAATAAGGGAATATTTGAAAATGAAATTAATTAATGCAACTTTATATTTATTAAAAAAATTTTGTATTATATATTGAATTTAATATTATAAAGAAAAAATTCAAATAATTATTTATTATAAAAAATATATATGTGATAAAATAAAAGAGATGAAAATAAAAATGAAGATCAACAACTTTTACTATTTAAATATTTCTAATACTGAAAGTATCTAAAAATTAGATGCAATTATTTTCAACTTACAATATAGAATTTTATGAAAGATACGTTTCATAGAAAATTTTTTTTTTAATACATTAACACATGTATCAGACTTTAAGTGAATTTTTAAATATATCTATGATAAATTATATACTTTTATAAAAGTAAAATGAAATGTTAATTTAAAAAAGACTACAATGATTCAGATTTAAAGTAAATGAAGTAATAGATTTGAAAAAAAAATTCTTACTATTTTTTCTTGAAGAAAATTAGATTATTATTTTTTTTAGAATTTCTAGTAGGATTTCTTATTTTACAAGGTATAGTCATAAAAATCTTATTTCTTTTCCTACTTTTAATAATCAGAAGGGGTTTATAAAGTTTAATATTATTTGCTTGTATATAGACTCTTGTTACTCTATACATAATATAGTGTCATATTTTCTTGATGTTCTTCTTTAGAAGGTTTATTACTGTTATTTTAAAAAAGTGATATCTTGAGAATTTAGCTTTTGAGCTTTTCTACTGTATTTTCTAACAGAATGATTTAATTATCTTGAACGATTAATGCCTTCTCCTTTAGATCCAAATGATCCTAACATTTTTTGAGATTATGTAAGGTAGAGCGGTATTCTACTTTTAATCTATCTATCTCATTCTCACGAGATATGAGATTTTTTTCAAGATAATTGATATATAGCTCATATCGCTTTAAATCATTTGTGAGCTTACGAATCATTTCCTTATTTTTAATGGTAATAGTTTTCTCTTTAGTCAACTTTATCTGCAATTCTAAATTACTGTCTAGCAAATATATGCCTGCTCAGCTCTCATTGATTTCTATTATTCCAATAGATTCTGGCAAGGCTCAAAATGTGAATGTATCTTCAACTTTATGCAAAATTTATTATCAGCCTATTGGCTATCAGAGGACTGCAAAAAAATTACACAAAGCCTCTCAAAAAGCTAGATATGATTTTTCACTTGATGAGGTGTGTGACTGGCTTGAGAGATAAGCTGTACATCAGATACATAAACCTCGTCTTAGATATATTCCTCATGCAAGTTTTAGCTCTATTACTACTTCCAATAAAGTACATTAGGCAGATGTTTTTTATATACGACATATTAAGTCAGAATGAACAATCTATCTTTTTTACCTTAACTTAGTTGATATAGCTTCGAGATATAAAGCAACTATTTCTATTTGTGTAGCTCTTAGGGATCCTGCCAAGAATATTAAGAATATGCAAGGTATTTTAACTTCATCTATAATTGCGAAATGCTTAGAAAAAATTTATGATGACCCTGAAAATCCTCTTATTTAGCCAAAAGTATTTCTATCAGATAAGGGGTCTGAATTCAAGAGCAAATGTGAAAAATTACTAAGAAAGCATAGCGTAAAAATTCAGAAGGCTAAGTTTAAAAATACTATAAGTATTGTTGAGAGATATAATAGAACATTTACTGAGATATTTTATCGTATTCTTAATGGAAAAGATTTATTGATTACTTTTCCATATCCTCTTGATTCAGTCTAATATGAAAGCTTAGAGACTTTAATAAAAGATTTACCAATGTTGTTACTATGATAGTAGAAAATATTAATAATTCTATTACATGTTAACTTGGTATTTCTCCTGCTGAAGCAATAAAAAAAAAGTATTATCTCTAAGTCTTCTTATTCTTAGAATGGACTAATAACTTTGATAAAGAGAAACTTTCCAGAGATGTGCTTGTAAGATATTTGCTTTATTCTAGAGACTTAGAGGGTGGAAGATGTCATGCTGGAGATTTGAATTAGTCCTCACATATTTATCATATTCATCAATCTATGATGCAAAAAAATCAGCCGGTCTTATACTGGCTGAAGGAAGTCCCTTTTGGATTAATTGATAATGATGATTATGTGATCAAACGTCCTGAAAGATCCTTTATAAGAGAGAAATTAATGATTATTTCTTTTAATACAGAATTACCACCTTAGTGGGTACTCACAAATTAAATTTCTAAAGTAATGATAAGAAGTCTTCTGTCTTTTCATCAACTTGTTTATCTGTAATAAAATAATCCTTAGCTAATTTATAGTATAATTTATATAGTTTCATAATGGCGTTAAGAATCTTTAAATCTTACCTATAGTATTCTTTATAGTCTTCTTTGACTTTATGATATTAGGAAATATGATCATAGCTAGTTTGAGAATATATTCTTCAGGATCCTCTGCCTGGCATAATTTTTTAATCCTTTCTTTATATGATTGCATGAATTTACCTTCCTTTGGCCTTCTATAATAAATGCTAGCCTTGATGATATTTATTAATACCTATTCAATTTCCTGATATGTGGACTTTGTTTCGGCTAATTGAATTTATGTACTCATTATATAATTAGTATATGTATTACTATATTATATAAAGATTTATTCAATTAAAATTATTTATTCATCTAGAAAATGAAAGCAAAATTTATTTGCTATCATTTTAAAAATACTGGTAAAATTTGTGATAATAGCAATACTAAACCTAAAGGTTACCAATTGTACTGCAAAGCTAAGAAGCGCCGGCCATGCTCTACTTGTAATAGATCTACAAAGATAGATAAACCTATAGGGGTAGATAATGATCTATGTAGCTATTGTAATAATAGCAATTACAGTTCAGTGTATTTCCAAATTTGGAAATCAAATCTAGAATATTTTTTAATCATGCCTCAAAATTTAATTGGTGTTTGATCGTTATTTTTATAAAAATTTCGAAATTAAAATTCGTTATACATAATTTTTTTTTTTAATAAAAATAACTATCGAAATATATTCTTTCAGATATGTAATTTCATAATCCACGCTAATCCACGAAGCTTTACAAACTAGTTTTTAAATTATTTTTAGACTAAAATACACTTTTTTTTACATATATATATATGTTATTTAGCAATGACAACTTCAAAATCGGAAGCTAAAAACTTACCTTGCATATTCAATTCTATTATTTGTAAATATCCAGAAAGTCAACTAGTATCATGTGAAACTAAAGAAAAACAGAGATGGCAACATGCATCATCTAAAATAGCAAAGAATAAAATTACAATTTTAGCTAAATATTTTTCTGAATTAAATTTATTACTTGATTCTTTAGAAAATTACTCTTTATGTGAAAAACATTATAATAATGTTGTTGCTAGAGATTCTTTTATTAATCAATTGAAAAAAACTAATAACTTAATTTTTTTAGATGAAGAAAGTAAAAGAAAAGGTTGAAACCTTCCGATAACAATAATGACAAATTACAAGCATATCTTTACCAGATCCAGAATATGAAAATAAAATTAATGAATTAACGCATCTTAATAAGCAATTATTATCTGAAATTAATGAATTAAAGTATCTTAATAAGCAATTACTATCTGAAAATGAAAGATTAAAAAAAAGTTAGATAGCCGATTTACTAATCAAGAAGATCATATCGAAGCTATAATAGATATTACCAAAAAAGAATGAGAAAATTTATATGATAACATATTAAATTTAATAAATGATTATGAAAGATTTCAATTAAATAGTCTCTTAAAGTATTCTCCTTTCTAATGGCTTATTAAACGAAATCCGGTTGTTGTAAAATTTATAGAAATTCTCACTTATAATGAAAATGAAAATCAATATGAGGGTGAAAAGCTATTCAAATGTGCTGTAGCAATTGATATGATTTATGGAATAAGATACCTAAAATATGTATCTGCTATTAATTTAGCGGCATTGGCAATTAAATATTCTATTACAAAATCTAAATCAATTATTGATATTAATAACCATTTTATAAATGTCAGAGGTTACACTAAATTTATTAAATGGCAAAAAAATTTAGCAAATAAACCTCAATCATTTCTAAAAGGTTTAATATTTATAGCATTTGACAATGAACAAAAGGGTCAAAAAAATTATTTAGATTGCAAATATAATATAGTTATTTATCATACTGTTACAAGTTTTGTTTTATTGAATTATGATCCCATTAATCAAATATAAAATCTTGAAAACCTTTGGTTACATAAAACCTCCTTAATGCATTACAAATTGAAGAACTGTTTGATCTCACCTCTGAAATGCAAACATTAATTGATCAACAACTTTGTGATTATCTTTCTGTTATTTTAGCTGAAGTATATATAGAGAAAAATAAAGATATAAATGTCATTAATAATTTAATAACCAATCAGAATATGAAAATAGGTAAACAGAAATGGTGTTGAGAAAGTAGTAAAGATAATATCGAAAATTTAAGATATAAATATCCTCAATGTAATATAAAACTTCCCACACTTGTTGAAACTCAAGAAGCAATTGATTAAATAATATTTGAAAAAAAATACAATCAAACCTTTAATTTTTAAATCCTATCAATCTAAAATAGATACTTTTAAAAAGTTTACAAATTTAATTAATCCAATTACATCGGAAAATTTTTTCAGGGTTAGACCTGCAGTAATCTGCGATTTTCACAGATTTCTGCTTTTTTTATATACCTTTTTTCTAGAAATCTGCGAAGTTCTACAAAATGCAAACTCGTAAATTTTTTGGGTAATTACTTAATGCAGATCTGCAATAACCTTCTAAATTGTAAATAACTGCAGATTTAATGATCTGAGATAATCTTAAACTTTAAATAGATTTTTTCAAAAAAAAAATCATAAGATTTTTTATATTTCAAAGAGATATAAAACATTTTTTTTATTTTGAAACTTATTGAATTGTTTTTTTTATTTCAAAGAGTTACATAGCATTTTTTTATTTTAAAAGTTACAAAGTTTTTTTTAAAAATAAATATTTATTTAATAAAAACTTATTATCTTTGTTGAATCTTGGTAAAATATGTATCTCTTGGTTTATAGAACTGATAGGGATTGCGTTATAATCTTTAGTATAATACAATTGCGAACAACTATAAAGTTTAGATTCATTCAGTTCAATATCATACCAGCAAATAAGAGCAAGTTCATATAGAGCTTTTGACAATCCTTGAAAGAATTTGAATAGAAGTAATACCTTTTAAAATGATATTTTGTTGTTAAAGATATTAACTAAAACAAAAAGGTATACTTTCAATATTAATCAAGATTCACTTACTTTTCCATACCACGTTCCTTCATCCAAATTGTATTACTCTTGATCCTCTGCATGAGTTACCACAACTTTACTAAACCATTCTTTACCTTGAAAGTCTCCTGTCGTTCTTAAAATCTCACCACTTTCTAAGTGGATAGCATTATAAACTTTAATATAAAAATCATCACTTTCAAAGTCTTGTGAAGATGTGTTTAAAAGGTATTCAATGTCAAAATTATCTGCGATAACCCTTCAATAAAATTTTAGTATGACAGATTTTCAGATTTCTTTAAAGACTTTATTTTTATATCAATAGTGTCCAAAAATATTTCTCAGAGAATTTTTTCGAATCCTTCAGTTTTACGGTAAACAACTTTTCTGATTGTTGAAATTAATTCTTTACACTTTACCTATAAGTAAAAATTTATATTATTTTATTTTATTAAAGTTTTAAAATTTGGTATTCATCAGATTTTACCTAATCGCATTTACTAATTGATGTATTACTTCCTTTCTGTTTGATAAATGGTAAGGATTTTTTATATAATATTTATGAAGAGTTTCATATGTTTCTGTCAATAAGCCATTCAGCACTTTGTACTTACAAGTTGCAGTAATTAAACAAGAACGAAAATAAGATACAGCAACAGCTTGCGAATTTCAGCTAAAAAAAATTAGATATTCACTCACATAGTACTGCCAGCTATGTAATTTAAGAAAATTACAATCCATCGTAGATAATGAAGAGAAAATACTCTTAAAGTTAGTACACTAACCAATGATTTCTTCTTATTTTGATTAGAAACTTGTTAACTAATTTAAAAGTTAATGTTATTTAATTATTGCCAACTATAATTATTTTAAAGGCTTTAATTCATTTTTGGTATATGAATCTTTTCTACTCATTAAATACATTTTACCAAATCTTACATAAAGATTGACAAGTTCATCATAAGTTATTTGATTCCATTTATCAAAAATTTCATCCAACGCGAAAATTGCAACTTTTATTATATAGTGATAGTCCGCTACAGTAATCACATTTAAATTGCCTAACTTACTTATAAGTTTTAAGCCAGAAAAGCGAGAAATTTGGCAAGGATGATCATCAAAAACATTCAGTAATTTAGTTCCTTCAAAATATCTTGCATAATTTTCAGTTGATATTTAAAGAACCTAAGATCAATGTGGTGTATACGATCAGGAACGCAAGCTTCATATATATTCAGATTTCTAAAAAAAAATTAATTACTAATCTATAATTAATTTCAAATAATTTAAATAGTAACCAATATTTATATAAAGTCTTAGAACGCGTTTTCAATATAATGTACAGAGTGATTCTTTTCTTGGCTATCTCTAATTACACTCTGCATATTATTATGTATTCTAAAAGAAGCTGGCTCATAGTTCATTTTGTTTAAATTTTCTCGCAAAATTATATAAGTATGACACAGCATTTTTCTATGTGCTGACTTGTATGTAGCAGTTACTTCATCTACTTTAAGCATATCTGAAAGGAAAAATAAAATTCGCATAGTAAAAGTTATTTCACGTCCTTTGATTCCAAAATATAACGCATCAGGTTTTTCTAATAAGGGTCAAAGCATGATTTTAAAACATTTGTGATATATTTCACATTGAAAGCTTCAAAAAGATTCAGTTGTTTTAATTTCTGAATTTTGAACCTTAGGTAAAAATCCCAAAAGGACTTTTAACTCTGGAAAATTTCGAAACCAATTTGGAAGATTTTCAAGTGTTAAGAATACTGGATAGCCTAAAGTTTTACCAAGTCCATCGAAATTCATTATGTCTGAGTATAGGATTATCGACAACAGATTGTTCAAAAGTAAAAGTGTCTTCTTTGTATCTAACTACCAGTCACATTCATACAGTTCTTTGAATATTCTTTCACTTTTATTGTCTTAATAAAATTTTAGATTCCTTTTATGAACAAAATTATCAGCTACTTCTAGTCATTGCACTAGAGCTTGAATTGCACAGAAAATTAAATGATAATAGAGTTTAAATTCAACTTCAGAGTAAGTTGCAATAGTTTTTTCTTTGAAGTTTATTGATGGTGAATTTATTTGATTGAGGTAAGCTTTACCATCTATTATCGATTTTGATAACAGAGACTTTTCCAAATTGCTATTTTTATTAAAAAATTTAATTATTTTATCTCCAATTTTGTTCGATATGTTACCTTTTACTACTAACTTCATAAAGTTACAATAAGTAATATTTAGCCATTCTGCTACATGTTCTGATTTATTTTTTCCTTTAATAGTATTTAAAGCATCATCCAATGTTGTCCCTTAAAGATCTTTAGAATCAAAGTCAATTTTCCTGATGTTTAATAGTGATTGTAACTCTTTGTAACTCTTTTCAACATTTTCTTCTTCTATTTCGTCTCTTCTTTCAATATAATCTGATTCCATATTATATACTCAGCTTCATAAATTATAATGTATTTTATTATCAACTTTTATCCCAAATATCGTCAACATTAAAATTGTCAACATCAACATCATCAATATTAATATCGTCAACATTAACATCATCAACTTGAGAAAAATTTGTATTTGTAATTAGTATACTTCATAAAGTTTCATCATGTTCTGGTATTGATGTTCTGTAAGATTGTTGATAGATTGATTACTGATGTCTAGATCCAGTTTCATAAGAAAGCGTTATTTTTCCTTAATGCATAGTATTAGCATGTCATGTTAATCTGGTAGTTATTGAAAATTCTCTTTTACAAATTCCACAACAATATTTAACCATTATATTTATCTTTTTCCTAAATATTATCACTAGAATTTGAAACAAAGATATCTCAATTAGATTTATAGGATTTATGATTTACTTGCGATGAAAATATTTATTCTATTTACTATTTTATCGCTGTTCAGTGAAGTAAATTTATTAATAATTTCACAATATATCATTTAATTGATTTATTTGACAAATTTTACGGTAATTTATTTCACTTATCATCAATTTAACAATTACATCAATTTAACTAATATTTAATAATTATACATCAGTTTGAATTTATTTTTAGAACAATATAAACGATTATTACGCAATTATATGCATTTTTTTTAATATATAAATCACAGGTTTCTTCTATCCTCAATTCCTTCAACAATAATTTTTTTACATTTGGAATTTCTCTAATGACATTTTTTTTTACACTTGAAATTCCTTTAACAATAATTTTAGTTTTTCTACACTCAGAAATTTTCTAACTTTTTTTTTACCTTTCAATAACATCTTTTTCTTCCAATGATATGCACAAACGTAAACAAAAAAAAGGATCTACTATAT